TTATGTAACATATACTGTAGATGTCCAACGCTTAATGCATGAGTCAGTTAATTAGTTAGAGAAATGATCGACTAATAAGTTTTGTATACAGAGAACGATCAGATGTTGAATTCGTCACTAGAACCTCCCTGGTAACTGGAGCAAATGAAAAATATTAACCTGCTTGTTCCCCTCTTAACAGTGAGGCATGTAGCTTCTTATAATGCAATGGGAAAGAAACTTTTTTGCGTTACTGTTGCTAATAAGTAGCATTTTTTCAGCAAAAGAGACATTTCTATTCCCTTAACATTGTTGCTTATTTACGATAAGTATTTTCCCAGTACCTTTGTCAGTAAGACAGTTAACAAAACCTCTTAAATTGACAGTGAAACAAATCCTCCATATCCTCGATAGCAAGACACTTAATGCCCTTACCACTGTTAGTGAGAAATCTGCCGCAGAGACGTGAGATGGCAGAGAGTTTTGCGGTCGACAAATGCAAAGAAGAACTGATAAAGTTTGATTAAATGGAACTTGCATGGCGTAAGGAGTGAAGTGTATTACGATGGCATACTGACCACAGAAATAGTGGTAGAAGAGAGAAAGTGAAGAGATAAATCATCTGAGGTAAAGGAGGATGTGATGGACTGGTAAGAGATAAAGCTTTGGATTGAGCTATGCCTAATAATATTAAATATATATGTGGTGCGCCTCTCCGCACATGAACACTATTTCACGTGAGGTCATAATCATAAGGCCAATGTAAAGAGTACGAAGCTGTGTGAACGAGAAATATGGAAGAGCCAGAAAAAACCCTCAGTTCAATTCAATTCATTTTCACTTGTTTATTCCTTGATATAGGAAGCGGGATCCTAGTGCTGTCACTAGGTACCCCTGTACAATAACACCAGAAGCATCTGGCAAGTGTCACAAGTATATACAGTATAAATAAATATTATGAAGGGGCTTACTAAAGCCTAAGGAAGGAAGGATATTCCTTTAACACATAATCAATGTTATTTACATAATATCTGGCCAGTATGGGGAGGATCATCGTGTTTCCGTCAGGGGGTCGTGGAGTGGTGGTCCAGCATGCGAACCCTCAACTCTTAAATGAACTACTTACAATGGTAGAAATAGGGTGGTTCCAAGGAAGGTTACTGGCTACAGTAAAGCTAGGACAAATTAACGTTGTTGGCTGGAGGCTGGAAACAATCTTGTTGGCGGTAAGTCGGTAAATTTGAGTCGTGGAGGCGCTGAATGTCAATAGCATAATTGCGTCCCACTGAACTGTGGACTCAAGATCTGTATTCATTGTAGTTATTATAGTATTTAGCGACTTATTAGGCGATTTAAGTGAATGTGGGGGCTAGTTGTTAGACTTTGGTGTAGGTTAGTGTCACCAGCGAAATAATGTGTGTTGTTGGAAGAGATAGAGAGGAGGTCATTAATATGAATTGAGAAGAGAATTTAACAAATGGCAAGGAGACAAAAATGGAAGTTAGCAAAGAGAGCTTGAGGACATATATTATTAAAAGATTTGGGAATATCGAGGAAAACAAGGAAACTTTCACCGAAGTTGTCAAGAGTACAGTTAAGACTTTAAGTTAAGAAAGTGAACAAGTCTATGGTTGAACGGATATAACGTTGGGAGTCCGCGAAAAGATTAAGATTTTTAAGGGTAGTTGTTTGTTTATGGCAAATTCCATTATTTTAGAGATGATTGAGATGGGAGTTATATTACGATTAATAAATATTATTCCCACTGTTATTGTTAGTGAAGCACATAATTCCCTATACTGCTGACAGGGACCCCTCTGACTACCATCCGGACTTGGAGCAAGGTGGGGCAGCCTACCCCAACTCCTTTTGGCTGCCAGAGTCCGGGATCCAGCGAGGCTCTATTGTGTGGCACGATGGAGACCCCACCACGCCCCTCTATCCTGCCCTAGGTAACTAACTCTACGAATCCTTAAGTAAATCACTCTGCTCCACTTTATGTAACTAACTTTGCTATGCTCTAAATAACCCCGCCCTCTAATACAGTAACCACGCCCCCTGCTGCAGTAACTCCGCCCTTTAATACAGCAACCCTGCCCCCTTCCTCTAATACAGAAACCACGCCCTCTAGTACAGTAGCCACGCCGCCTGCTACAGTAGCCACACCCCTTGCTACAGTAGCCACGCCTCCTGCTACAGTAGCCACGCCCCCTGCTACAGTAACCCCGCCCTCTACTACAGACGGGATGTATCGGGTGCCGGACGAACAGACGGACACGCCCAGGATCCCAGCCCACACGCTGAGCTACAACGACGCCCGCAAGCTGCTGGTGAACATAGGCGGTGAGGAGGTGCCGCCCGCCTGGAGAGGAGGCCTCAACATCACCTACAGGATGGGACCCCAGCTTGTTAGACCTGGCTGGTGAGGACAAACCATTCTGATTAGTTCACACCGAACACATTTACAGATTTTATTTTAGTCGTTAATCCCAGTCTTTACCTTATTATATATATATATATATATATATATATATATATATATATATATATATATATATATATATATATATATATATATATATATATATATATATATATATATATATACACGTTTACTAAAATGGAGTAGGTTACAGGCACACGTTCGATTTTTAAAAGTTTGATCGAGAAGAACGAGAAAAAATTATCCCAACATAAAGACAATATGTATACTATGTTGTAGTGTGTCGGTTGGTCTTGAGCTGCAGTAAATCACAATTGGAATACGTAATGATGTCCCACTTCCAAGATTCTCCAAACCTCACCTGTTTCCATTCTCTAGACTCTCTATCTTCTCTTCCTATAACTCATCTTCATCCTACTTCTACAGTATCCCACTCACCCACCCACCCACGTCACTTTCAAGTAAGCAGTACTACAGGACCGATCTAGATTATTTATCTCACCTTCTGTAGACACCATTTAACGCTCCATAGCACTCCGGGACTTAATCTACACTATACTGTCCTACCCCTCACATCTCGTCTACACACGCCGCCCTATCGTCCTACTATGATACTCCAGGACGGTGAAGCTTGAGGTCCACAACATCAAGCACTTGGTCCCTACCTACAATGTGATTGGTGTTATCCACGGGTCCGAGGAGCCAGACCGCTACGTGATCTACGGTAATCATCGTGACTCCTGGACTTTCGGATCTTGTGACCCTTCGTCGGCCACTGCAGTCCAGATGGAGATGGTCAGGGCGTACGGCCAGCTGCTGAGGAACGGTGAGTACAATTGCTGATTAAGAGGATGTGATAATTATATCCCTGTTATTTCTCCCTCTTCTTCTAATTTTATTCTTTCTCCAATTCTCTTTTTTGTTTATCTTATTATTAATACATGATTAGGTCGGTCAGTGCCATCAGGATCTAACGATGTATATTCAAGACACAAGAACAGAACAACCCATAATGTTCATATCTGGTGTAAATTAACCATGCAATCTCCTTGAGCTGCTACGTTTATAGCGCCAAGTTCAAGATCATGACCATGCTAACTCAGTGTGAGATGAATTTTAACTTGAGAGCAGTCCGGTTCTCTATCCGTCATTCGTTATCCAACTCAATTTTATTCTTTATTTGTGTATGTGTTTGGCACCGATTCTTTGTCTTTCTTTCTATCTACATTACACATATGTATCTCTCCATTAGGTTGGAGGCCTCGCAGATCTATGGTGTTCGGGTCGTGGGGAGCGGGCGAGTATGGGTTCTTTGGGCCGTGGGAATGGGTGGAGGAATACCTTAAGGTTTTCGAGATGCGAGCGGTGGCACACCTCAACGTGGATCTGGCCATCATTGGAACCTACAATATGCTCATCTCTGCCACCCCACTTCTACACAAGATCATAAAGGAAGCCACCAAGAGGGTAAGTGGGACCAGTTGCCAGAGGTTTGTCTGACCAAAAGGCCGCAAAAAAGGGCAAGTGAAGCGTATGATATTTTAGGCTTAATTAACAAGATAATAAATGAAGCCTTTTATCACAGGGAAGCTTGCCAAAATGGTGAAATGCGCTGCCATCGTAAAGTCTGACGTATAAGCCATTGAGGGTAAGTTGGCTAAGCAAGTCTTCAAGGGCTGACGCCTGTTTTCATAGGTCGTCTCATTTATTCATGGTTTAAGTGAACCTGTAGACGCGTTCTCAAATATCCAGTAATAAGACAAATCAGAGCGTTATAGAATACTTCAGGGCCCGAGTTCAGTATGATAATAATAATATTATCGGGCAGACATCGCCTACTACAGCAATGCCACTTCTGGTATGCCCTGACTCCTTCCCTATATAAACTGTAGCTCCGATGTTCGATTTGAAGGAAATCCAGGATTTAGGAGATATGAAGGATCTACTCGCAGATGGTCTCAGTCTTTGTTAAGGATTGATTACCTAAATGCCCACCGTAACTTTAAAATTAGACTCTGCAATTATATATATTGTCTACTTCAAACATAAAGATAGCTATAATCATGCAATCCCTGTTACTGATGCTTCTAGCTTGAATTGAATTGAATTGAATTGTAACAGTTTTTTGGCCAGAAAAACCCCCCACAGATACAGAGTGGATAATACCAGCAATATTAACATGGCTGAGCCAGTTGAGAACCTGAGCTCTCCTGTAGGCACCTGATATATACTATACATTTATCTCAAGGAAGTATTATGTAATATTTAGTAATATCTGGAATAGTACAATGGCATGGTGGTAATAAGAACATCTCATAATGTTACCACGGTTATCACTTCAATATTTATTTTATTTATTAATTTTTTTATTTATTTTTATACAGTGGCCAACAGTAAAAATGTATTCAGCAAGATGGAACGACCATGAGATTACAACAAAGTTCCTTGTAAATAATAAATGAATACAATGATCTATACGTTAAAAATCCAATAGGATGTCCTAATTCTTCTCTATTCTGAGAAACATACGTACACTATGATACAAAATTAAACAAACTCTCATACTGTTTTGCTATGGCTGTTACAGACGCCGGCACCGGACCCCTCGCTGGGCTACACGACCCTGTGGGAGCACTGGAGCCAGAGGTTAAGAGCCGCCTCTCCTGACCTCTTGGACTACAACCTGGCTTCCCTCAGCGAACACTCCCCCTTCTACCAGCACATAGGCGTCCCCACCTCCTATATGGTGTGGGAGATTAACTTCGTGAGTCTATTTTCATCTACAGGTCATATTATTTGTCTAAAGAAATATCTGCCTTGGTCTATGCTAACGTCAATCTTTTTATATTTTACCGGCGTGTCGGAACCTCTAAATTTTATATAGTTTGTAGCTACTTCTTACTCTTACCCACTTTCCCTCTCTATAAACAGCCACAGTGCATATGTATAAAGTTCTTCTCTTATTTCATTCATATAACTTTGGCCGGAAGGGTAATAATCTGATTTTTGTCATTCACAGCTAGTGAGTTACCCCCTAGGCAGGATGACAGTCCACAGATTGCTTCTTTCACCAATGGTAGCACATCCGATATTATAACTATGCTATTGATGAGTGTAAAGAGACTATCGTAAATGTAGCGAGCACAGTCCTATACTCCTGTCAGAATACTAACTTTTCCCTGACTATATTCACCTGTAACAATTTACTTCCCCTTCACAACACCCTAAGGTCTATGCCTCAACTTACATGCTGCCCCTTTTATTTTGTACCAGCTAGCGGCCTTACACATTTACTGAATTTACTCACAACTTCGTGTTTACAAACTGTTGCAGTTTCACTTGCTTTTCATTTTATCTCATGAACATTTTGAGGCATGACTCTCAATCGCTATATTACCATTGGAGACCAATTACATTATTAATAACTTACAATGCTCTGAATAATAGTTTCGGCGTTCAGAAATGATATACTGAACAAAACTAGGTATTGTGTTCTTGATCAAAATACTTCCTTCTTTCTTATATAAAATAAAAGCAATAAAAACAACAACCTGGGTAAAAATTAGTATCTGATTTGGGATCTTAAATCGACTAGCCTCAACAATGGGCGACGGACAAGCAAAGGGCCTTCCGAGGTCAGGCACTCTCCCCTCCCCTTCGTTCCCAATACTCTCCAAGTTACTCTCTCACCTACTCCCTCCTCTGTACTTCTTCGTCTCCTCCACCAGGAAGAGTACAACTGGTCAGACTACCCGCTCTACCACACCACCTACGAGGATTTCGACGCCGTAAAGAACATTCTGGACCCAGAGTTCCGCTACCACTTGGCTATTGGCCGCCTCTGGGCACTCATGGGCATCGGCCTCGCAGACGCTAAGGTTAGATTACGTATAAGGCTAGATATAAGGCTAGATTAGGTATAAGGCTAGATTAGGTTAGGTTAAATCAAGTTAGTTAAGAGTAAATTTGCTAGGACATTTAGATTCTATGGACTAGTAAGTGTCAGGTTATATTTCGTTAATATAAATAAAAACACCAGAAACTTCTGGATTTTATAGACCAGCAAAGGCGTTCTGAAGCAAGGTTGAAGTTACGGTTGGTTAAGTTGAAATAGGTTAAGTTAGGTTAGATCAAGGAAAATTCTCTAAGATCTCATGTTTTAAGTTATACAAGAGGCTCTTCAACGTCTGATAGTTCCGACTGAAGTAAGTTCAGAATCTGGGGATTCTAGAGCACGAGATCTGAGTAGGTGTAATGTGATACTGTGTTCAAATTAGTACCGAGTTCTTAGTAGGTGCTAATACTGCATATAGTGTGCGCGTAAGTATTGATTATACGCTGTATGTTATTGCATGCTATGTATATTGAGTGACTGCTACTGTGCATTAGTTAGTACCGTGCTTGAGGTGTCCTGCCTTTTACAGATTTTACCGATGGACCCAGATGATGAAACGGTGATGCTGCGGAAGATGGTGGCTGACCTCAAGGCCGAGTACGGTGACACACTCCAGGAAAAAGGCATCAGTCTAGGTAGGCAGTGGTTCTTTTCCTAAGTATTATTTTGTATAACCAATCGAAACGGGTTTTTATACGTATGCAATTAACTATTTTGTAAAAATCTATTGTGCGTAAACGATTATGTACTGTATATGTAAAATAAAAGTTTGTGGTCAAAACAATATTTTGAGTTCCATATGAATGTCCTCTTTTCCTTTGTTGTCATATATATTATTGCATGTTTTCTTATGATGAACGTACTTTGACATTTTCTTATCCACTTCATTCTTAAACCATATGCGTTGTTCTATTCTTTTCTCATCAATAATTTTGTTATATACCTATTCTCTGTTTATCCTCAGCTCATCTGGACACCGTCGTCAATCGCTTCGATGAAGTAGCCAAGACCTTCATCACCCACGTCAATAATCTCACCGACGTTCCGTGAGTTCTTTCTTCTTTGGTCCCAATTTCCACCCCAACTCTCTTCCTCGTCCTCTATTAATCATTGCTGCATCTCTCTTTCTGTCTCTCATCGTTATCATCTTCCTTTCTTATCACATGTCTTCACATAATCTTTCCAACCAACAGTCATATTCTGCTGTTTGGCAATACCTCAGTCCTCAATTTCTCACATATCCTTCTCAGTACATCTACACAAAGTGATTTCCGGACGTTTTCGCCATACAAGTCCCAGCTGACGTGATCATCTTAGTAATAATTCCTCTGAAATACCTTCCAGGTCGTGAATTATCGCGCTGTGATAGTAATCTCCTCTTCTCTCACATTATTTTCCTCCGATAATCAGGCGAAGAACGTCCAAGATAAATAACATATTTTAAAAGATTTGCAGGAACACCATAAACTACGGGTGATCAACGATAAGACAGCGCCTTCGAAGACCGAGGAAGACATAATAATGTGTAGCTTTCCATATCGAGGAGACTGGGGTACACGAGGCTGCAGCCCTATGCTGCTTTTGGATGTTCCAGCTTTCTTCGTCTGAGTAATGGTACCGGGGACTCGAAGAGTAAGAGGAGTTTACTTTTTGCTGTTCCAATCTTATGTGTCTACGTTACAACATCGATGGATTGAAATTTGTGGGCCATTCGCATTTCCATTCTTGACTATTCCAGACTGTTGTTGGCCCGCCAGCTGAACGACCAGTTACTGCTATTGGAGAAGTGTTACACTAACGAGGCTGGTAGTTATCTCCGGCCCCATGTCAAGTACGTTGTTTCCCTTCTGTGGTAATCTTGGCATCGAGACGAGTGTTCCCAAATAATATGAAGTTTCTTGGTAGATTCAGTCCGCAAAATTCATTGTCATCCCACTAACCGAACTGTAATCACATAAAAAAATTACTAAAATAAATAATAATAGACAGAGCATAGTTATAGGGAGCCTGACTTGTTGCTTGCAGGAACCTGATGTTTGGAACAAGCAACTTCAACCAGTATGAAGGATGGCTAGCTCCAGGGGTCCGGGACGCCCTCTGGGAGGCCACACACTGCCAGGAATCCTGCGACCATCACTGGCAGGTCGTCCAACACCAGCTCTCCCTCCTTCAGTACGTCATCAACTCTGCAGTTCTCACTATGAAGGATATCAGATATATATAAAGAAGACCTATGGCAGGATTCTCTCCATAGTCTCCAGCACAAAGGTTACTACAGTGCTCTCCCTCATCTTACAAACCTAAATTTAATGGAGACACTTTAAGGATATCATATATCCAGAAGTTGCTACAGCCTCTTTATTGTCTGATAAAGTTATAGAAATTAGTTGATTTATTTACGTTTTTCTTGGAGGAGTGAGTTTACATCAGTCGTGGTGGTTAGTGACCATATATTCACAAATATATTATTTCTTCTTTTTTTCTTATGTGGGAGATACGAATATCCGGAATAAGCATATGCTTATGGTAGAGCCTCGGTAATAATGCAGCCGCAATTTGTTCCTCCAGATATAAGTGTTGGTGTAATTAAGACAGCTAGACGTGGTTATAACAGTTAAGGGAATATTTACTAACTTTGAGAGCCTGGGTTTTGCATCTCAAGTACTATGCTACGAGGATGTTTCCATGACCATTGGTAATAACAATTATTTGTGGGTTATATCTCACTTGATAATACTGAAATTAATTCACATTTAATATCATACGTTATATAGAACACCTGTGTGTGTGTGTGTGTGTGTGTGTGTGTGTGTAAACAAAAACAAGACAATAAAAATAAAGGGCTTTTTGTACCCGCTCTAAAAAGAACTGAGGGAGCTACACTTAGAGATGCAAACGTTCTAGAGTAAATAAAAAAAAATACTGTGTTGTTTAAAATGTTGTGATTAGTTTAGAAATACTGGTATTAGTTTTTAAGGCTGGTGTTAATTTATAAATGCTGGTGTTAGTTTTATAGTGTTGGTGTTAGTTTGGAAATGCTGGTGTGGGGTTCCATGTGGACTTACACCATGAAGAAAGTTATCTAGACGCCAAGGCAGGCGCTCAGGTGCTCTCAGTTAGCAAATACACAATGTCTCTGTGTGTGTGTGTGGGTGACGATATTTTGGCAATTTTTCTTAAGTATCTATCTTTTGATTTACGTCTATCATGTTTTCTATCTTACTTTCATGCACATACACACACACAAACACACCGACGACTCCACCATTGGGATCAGCGTCAACAAATCTGCTCCCGACTATACCGCCCTTCAGGATTTATTGAACAGTCTCCAAAACTGGGCCACCAACAACCATGTCACCATCAACCATACCAAGACCATGGTTATGCACATCAACCTCTCCTCCGACATTGTCCCACCTCCTTCCATTACTTTAGGTCCGAACACACTCCAGGTTGTAGATTCCACGAAGCTCCTCGGCGTCACCATAGACAACAAACTAAATTGGAAACCACACGTCAGTGAAGTTGTTAAATCCTCCAGTTTCCGTCTCCACCTCCTCCGCCGACTCAAGTCCCTTGGAGTTCCTGCACCCGAGCCCCTCAGTGTTTACACAACATTCATACTTCCCAAGCTCACCTATGCCTCCCCTACCTGGTCTTCCTCCCTAAATGCCACACAGCGTAAACACCTAGAAAAAGTGCAAAAGAGGGCATGCAAGATTATTCTCTCCCTTTCCTACTCCGCATATCAAGAAGCGCTCAACACACTAACCCTTTCGACTCTCACTGACCATCACCACGACCTCATCTGCAAATTTGGTAAGAAGCTTCTACACCATCCTCGACACCGGCTCTACTACCACCTGAGATCCCTAGCCCGAGAATTGCTGTTCGACACCACAACCGCATCCAGCCCATACGTGCACGAACTGATCGCTATAAGAACAGCCCAGTCCCAACCATTGTAAAAATTATCAATAACTTGTAATAAACCAGTGTATTCACTCCCAGTAAATACTACTTCTTGCACTGTCACTATGTTGAAATGCACTGTAGTTTGAGCTTTTCCCCATCTAGTTATTATATATCTCATTTGTATCACTTATGTTACTTGTATATTATTTGTAATTCGAAACCCATTCCCCAAATATGTAACTGTATATTTTCAGCCTTCTGGCTGCCAAGCTCTTTCAATAAACCGTTAATTATTATTATTATTATTATTATTACTTAATATACTGACACAATAATCACCCCTGAGTGCCAGATATCGAACCCGGACCACCTCGAATGGTAGGCAGAAGGCTTATCCACTTAAAGTTGATCATTGCTTACATAGATTTACCTGTGTACATTTCAGTTTCTGATATAGTGTAACAAGCTGACACAATTAGTGCTTTTACATAACGTATATCAGTTAAGCTTCTTCCTGGAGGGCGCAGCATCAACAAACAACACGTAGGTTAAAAAACGAAAGCTGCATATAATTACACACCACAAGATGGTTAAGTATTATATAAATATAAATTATTGTATTTGCGTAAACTAGTAATAACTGCATCTCTTCTATATCAGGACTTTTGTATCGAGTGTTGCTTGTACTAAATAAATTTATAGAACTATATGATGTTTTATTGAATCGTAAATCAATATAAGGTAAGACACACCAACATTTGTTGTGTAAGTGCAAACTGATATCCTATTGTTTTGTTTATATGTGTATGTTTACTTGTACGTTTGTTTCATCTATTTTAGTTCCAATGTTTCCGTGTTTGTATGCGCTTGTGTGTAAGTGCAGTGTGTGCTTGTGTTTATGTGTGCTTTTTTGTTTAGATTTATTGTTTATTTATATATATATATATATATATATATATATATATATATATATATATATATATATATATATCTTGATAAAATCACACGGAAAATGGAAACAACGGAGCACCTCAGTCTTTGTCTTATATATATATATATATATATATATATATATATATATATATATATATATATATATATATATATATATATATATATTTCATGTAGATCCACAATGAAAACGTGGATAAGATAAATCTTGATAAAATCACACGGGAAAAGGGAAACAACGGAGCACCTTAGCTTTCGTCTTTATTCAAGATATCTTCAGAGGCAACTGGATTACATGGACAGAGAGAGGCTTAAATATACAGGGTGACCTTATAAAACATGAGGTCAGGTCATAATGATGTCATCCACTAATCCCCACACCAGCACACACGTAGAGGAGCTAAAGAGAAGGGGGATGACGTGACTAGTCCCCACGCCTGGTGGCCCCGGAGTCAGCCCGCACTTCAACAACCCAACCCGCGACCCATCTATGTCCGCCACAGTGATCCACCTTAGATTAAAACTTAGATGATATAAATTCACATTTAACAAGTCACAATCAAGTGAGTCCATAACGTAATACAGTATTAGATGTTAATAAACTTGTAATTGTAAAATCAATCTAGTCATTGTCTACTAAAATAACCATTGTGCAACCTCATTCTAAATCCTAGGTTAGCTTAGTTAGCCAACAAACTCTGTAATATGTAAAACAAGGGGTGTCGTCCCCCTCTGTTTAACTCATTAAACTTCTTTTCCAACCTTTCCCCCCACGACTATATGTTGTGACTTCTCCATCCCTCATGTCTGGCTGTGCCTTGAGCCCCAGCATGCCTTCCCCCCTTTCCCCACCTTAACCTAAAAAAAAAAAAAAAAAAAAAGTGACTAGTCAGGTCAGGTAAAAAATAAGGGACCCACTAAATAACTACTATACATCTAGATCAAAGGTTTTCAAAGCATTTTTAACCTTGGGCCACTGACAAATAAATTTATGTAACATATTATCAGTTTTGAACTGACCATCACTAAAGTTTATTGATTTTAATTCCTTCATCAAACTAGCTTCAAGAGAAATAATCGAAATTTGTAGAAAGAGAAAAACGATATAATTTGGTTTGACAATTAGGAATGAGGAGATAATAGCTGAAATATTAATGGGCAAAACTGAGGGTAGGAGGGTCAGGGGAAGGCAGAGACTGGGGTGGATGAATGAAATTAAAACCTGGGTCCCCAAAGAGATGCAAAATCTCTGAGGATCGGTAAAATCAGCCTGAAAACGTTTAAAGTGGAGGACTGTGGTCGCCAACCCTTTGATTGATTGATTAAGCTTAGGTTTGGTAGGATGGTTGTCTTACCTTATTGTCAACAGAAGGAACGCCAACATTTACTCTGCAATTTCTCCATTTGTTTGTTTTAGAGGTCAGAAAGTTTTTATAGAGTTTTCCTAGAGTTGCTCCTTTTCACGTGTCGGTGTTCAAAGGTATTACCAAAAAGAATCAAAGGGATACATCTCTGTTTTTTAATTGAATGATTGACTTTTCCTTCCCTTCTGTACTTAGTTAAACAGGTAAACAAGCATACAGGTAAGCGAAAGAGCATTGTTTTTTTTAATTCATCATAAAATAATTTAATTACTATGATCATTTATTGTATTTATTTTTCTTTGTTTCCATACAACAACGAGACCTGCTCTCTCCTACTTTAACCCCCAGAAACATTATTATTCGTTTTATAATAGTTATACAAAAAGTTTTCTATGAAAGAGGAACAGACGAAGACAGAAAATATACATTTAAGGCACCCTCACATAAATAGCATGACCCAATACCTGAAGTACTCTACAATCTTACCAACCAAAACATAGTATGTCTTTTTTTTTCTCACAAGTATATGGTTATTATTGGATGTTTTGGTAAAGGTTTACGAAACCGTGATCACCAGAAGGAAATGTGCGATTTGGTTTACAATTTTTTTTACACACTACAGTATGGGGAGTGTATTGGGCCCGCTGTTGTTTGTTTGTTTCATAAATGACATGCCTGACGTTGTACACTCCTCCATACAAATGTTTGCCGATGATGGCAAGTTATTTCGGGAAATTAAGAACCAAGCGGACTGTGAAGAGCTGCAAAAGGACCTCTGTGGGCTCCAGGAATGGTCGAAGAAATGGCTGCTGAGATTCAATGTCACGAAGTGTAAGAGGATGCACCTGGGGCGTACCAACGGTAAGGAGGCGTATCATATGTCCCAACGGGATGAAGAAAATGCACTAGTTGAGACTGTGTGTGAGAAGGACCTAGGTGTGTATGTTGACAATGAGCTGAAGTTCTCGGGCCATTGTGAGAAGAAGGTAAATCAGGCAAATAAATTATTGGGTCTTATAAGAAGGTCGTTCAGATATCTAGACGGTCCGTCCCTCGTGACGATCTTCAGGAGTGAAGTGCTTCCCCATCTGGAGTACTGTCACCCCATCTGGTCCCCGAGATATGCTAGGGACTGTCAGTTGGTTGAAAATGTTCAAAGGAGGGCCACCAAACTGGTGCCTGCACTTCGGCACCTCAGCTACCCTGAGAGATTGGAGCGCCTGAACTTGCCTAGCTTATACTACAGACGGGCAAGGGGGGACCTAGTTGAGGTGTATAAGCATCTCAGGGGGCACTACTCAGTTGAGTGTCCTTACTTGGAGCTGGCGGACGCTCGCCCCACAAGGGGTCACAGCTCAAGATTGAAGAAGCCGCAAGTCCAGAAAACCGTGAGGGCAAACTTTTTCGGAGTGAGGGTTGTAAACTCTTGGAACAATCTACCAGAGAGTGTTGTGACGGCACCGAGTGTGAGCTCTTTCAAGAGAAGACTTGACCAACACTGGAGCGGGTTCAGGTACATTCAGGAGCCGGTGCATGCCCAGTATTTGCCAACAGTGCGTGACAGAGACGTGGCC